GGTTCATCCCTGCTTTCAGTCCCGACTGGCTATCTTCCAGCCTCTTACGTTTAAGCCACGTCATAAAGCCCACTTCGTTAAGGTGACTCGTCACTTGAACTGTGCCTTCGTCCTCAGTACACGTCCTGCCTAAGGGCAATCCTATGTATTGCCTACATGACATTCTGCTTACAGGCAGCCTATTGTTTTGCCTACATGACCTTCCTCCTGCCTACAAACTGCCTTCCGTTTTCAATAAATAACAGCCTCAGTGGGACTTGAATCAGCGACAGCAAGGGAAGGCTTCAGTACAGCTTAACGCCCTTGCCACCTGAGCTAGTGAGGCTCCACCAGGAGCAGCGAGTTTAATAACACTGGATAAGATGTTTATTATTTCATCTGCTCACGCTGCTTTGCTTGAGTGCCTCTGAATTATGTGCTCAGAGTGTTTCAAGCGTCCATTTCTGTCTTTTCTTTGTGACCAACACCTATTTGGGTCCCAGCCCGTATCATATGCATGCACTTATTTCAACATATCCTCAGTAGCTGGACATACATACCGAAACTTCACACATTACGTTGATTAGTTTGGATGAAACTTCATCTTGTGAAATAAAAAGCCATTTTGAGCGGCGGAAGCAAAAGCATTCGCAACGTAAACATTTTCCTAATTAACTCAGATTCTAACAGTACAAACACAATCCCTATCGAAAATCACTTCATGGTCTTAAACAGTCTGTCACTGCTTTAAAAATCAAAATCAATCCCCACTGTTTCTCTATTTAAGAATCAGACGTATTCGTAGATACTTTCTTTGTGGCTGAATTGTAGATTTACCGAGTTTTTGCTGTTACCGCCCAAAACAACAGACCATTTAAAAAAAAACCATTTCCCCAAGATTTCATACTGCAGATTAATAATGTCAAAAAGAGGTCTGTTTTCCTACAGCACCGTGGAGAACAAAAAAATGAAGAAAAAACGATTGTTAAAATAAAAAGGAAGAATAGGATGACCAATAACGGTTAGCAAACCTTCGTAAATCGCCCTCTTCCCTCACAAAAAATCTTTGCCCCCTTAGTTCAACTCAGTCTGTCGTTAGAAATCCAGTAAACTTTCCACTCTGAACTTAAGGTAACAGAAACCTGAACTGTTGAAAAGCGGCACTCCAATTCATCCCAAGTCTGGCCCAGTTGACCCACTGGACTAGATACCACGAACAGCAAAATTTCCCAGACTGAGCAGAAAACCTTCGAGTACCTGAGGTAGGTTTGGATCTTAAAATTATATGTTTATAGGCCTTCAAATGTTTTACCATGATTCGTTTTGACAGCTGTTAGCCATTTTTCTGACAAGTGAGGAGTTCCGTAACCGATCGGTGAACCTTAATTCACCAAGGTAAATATTCCCGATCGAAACCAGCGAGGCCGTGGCTTAATGCATTGAAACATTGACCTTGTGATCAACAAATCGCGGATTCCTGCCTCGGGTAGTGAATCACCTGGGTTTAGCTATGACTAGCTAATAAGCCTGAAATGACCATTTCAGTCTCCCTTGTCCTTGTCAGCAATGTCCGTCTTGAGAAGAAGACGACTCGATCGCTGGGACAATACTTTTATTCGCCTGACCCGTTTCTGCTAGTGTTCGTTATGCTATAGTACTAGCCACTGTACAGTTACTGACGAGTGAGTCCCATAACCGTTATCAGTAAGGGTTCATCCGACAAGTTTTCTGACAATTAGCGCGAACTCGAAATGCTCCCCCCTCCCCCCACCACCAATAAGCAAAAATTCATTTAGGTAGTCGAAACAGTCTGTGATGAGAGCTGCAACTTACACCAAGTAGGGTGCATCGGCATCGGGGGGTTGCAGGAGGCATTCGGTTTGTGGCCCGAGATTTTGGACTGCAGTTCTCATGTACACACGTCCAGGGCCTGCGGTCGAGGGCAGCCCTCCATCAATGCGATTCGGAGAGAATCTTCGCTGAGCCCAACTGTGCATGAAGAAGTTTATCTGCGTGGTCATAGTCGTCTTGCTTTGACGAATTAAACTACAAAATAGAGAGGGTAGAGAGGGATATAAGTGATAAGGAATCTGCAGTCACTATTTTCTTCAAAACAACTAAATCCATTCTTCCGTAGTAACATTCGCGGTACCTTTAGGAGCGATAGTAATTAATACTCGCAAGGTACCAAACCCCTCGAAGAATCTAGTTTAAGGAGGAAAGATTAGCTGAAGCGGGGGTTTGGAATACTAACTGACAGGAGTCACATTAGAAGAAGAAGATGCGACCAGTGGAAAAAGAGTCTTATTTCCCTGACATTTCGGATCCCCCACGGAATCAATTCTTCCCTTCCTACATGGAACCGAGCCCGAAGATCGCAGCGGTAAGAGTTTTACCTATTAACTTAATCCACCGCGATAATTCTTTTGAAAGAGCCTGAAAAAACTACAGGACTTACTTTGTGAAGTGCAGTCGTGCTTCGTCATCAGAATCCTGCAATCGCAAAGCATCCACGACGTATTTGACATTTTCACCAGTCAAGCCCGGCAGTCCGCCGTGCCGTGCCTTTAGTATTGGGAGTAAAAAAAACAATAAGTACACTAAAGGAAGAAAGTCGAGATAAACTAAAATTGAGAAAAAAGAAGTCAATTTGAAGAGTTATCTTCATATCACAAAAACTGGAGGGACATGGGTTGCAGGTCAAAAATAAACTTAAGGAATCGCGCTAAAGACGTATAAAATTTGCCGGCGTCCAAAAAGGGATGCTTCTTCGTAACTATTATCCATAAAAAAGTTCCCATTTTATAAGTTTTTGAAGAAAGCGATCGCAAGAAACCAACAATGCAGTCAAAATCTGACATTTCAGAGCGGACGCGGGCATAAATTAGCCATAAAATGAACCCAGTCTTCATCCTCAGATCTGAGAGGGACAGTAAAACACGCACTATCGGATAGTTAGCTCAGAATACAATTTCGAATTAGTTTTTTATGAGCCTGAATTATCGTTGAATTATATGGAGGTACTTCGGAGGATCTTCCCTCAAAATTCTTATGAAAAGTCCGTTACAGAAAGCCCAAGCCGATTTGACGGTACAATTTCATTGTCCACATCCCCAGCCTTTCTTCTTCTTCTTCTTCTTCTTCTTCTTCTTCTTCTTTTTCTTTCCTTCTTCGTCACCACCGTCTGACATCAACCTCATCTACTCCTCCTCATTCTCCTCAGCGTCATCATCTTCGTCATAGTAATCGTTAAAATCATCTTGTCAGAAGCAATCAAACTGAGGCGAGAAGAGTATACAAAAATGTATCCTTTAGATTTCAGCTGAAGTACCGCATGCAAACGATGCGCTAGAAAGCGACACTCTAAAATGGTTGCATTCTTGGTGAGGTCGCTCATCCTCTCCACTCTTAACTAAGGGCTGCAAAGTGATTCCGTATTACGCGCCGAAGTTTCCGACATATGTCTTGCCGTACATCGGCATACCACAACTCTATACTCCCATTACTAGTACGCTAACTCACGTGTGAAGAAACTGAAATGCAGAAGTTTAAATCAGATCTGTCTCCATAACAGATATGGATTTCATGTAAACCTTTATATTTTGAGTATTCTACTACCGTTTCCCTTGGTCTCAGTGAATGGAACCATTTTTGCTGCAAATTTTGGACATTTACCTCCAAAAAGCGTATTTTTCACTCTCCCTCAAGTGTTATAGGACACATTCTTACGCAGTATCAATTTCCAAGGGCGCTTATGACTGCTCCTCGCTCAAAGGAGGGGAGTTTTTCCTCATTTACTAGACAGCCCTTACCGATACAACATATTCCAGCTCATTTTATAAGATCAAACAACACTAGAAATAGTAAACTAGGTTACTGGCGTGTTTTGCTAGCTGTACATGTTCCTCCTGTTCAACGACATGGTAACTTGGGCACGTAGTTCATTGCAGGATAAAATAATTTCTTCCTTTGTTTTCCACTTTATACTCACTGATGTCTAGAAGACTTCAGCATGCGGATGCGAAGACGGCTATGTGCCCTAGCATGCAATTTTAATCTTAGATTATCAAACGCTACCCTTTCCATAACCTATTTTTAAATGTTATTCCGCCTCCATGGCCTCCCTCATCCGACGCACTGGCTGACGCAACTAATACTGATGGCTTCTGTTATTAGACTACTTCTTCATTCCTGTACGTACCTTTTTGTTATTTGCTTGTTCCAAGTTAACGCGTGTTTCTAGCCACCAAAATTCAATCATTGTTAGATGACTCTTCGTACCTTTTACTTTCAACGCTTAGCGCGAGTGGATGACTACATAACAGCATTGCATCGCGATAATTCTAATTAATACTGCTTACTGGCGGCAGGTCAGATATAAATTGTGCCGAAAGCCACGAAATTTCGGTTGACTTTGAGCTGACCTCGTCACCTTTTACGGATTTACACTCCTGTGCTGAACCAAAACGTCGAAGTTGACAGTGTATGTACAATGAAGCCTCGGATGACGAGCAGTCCCATCTACGAGCATTTCAGGTAAAGATCGAGCCACTAGCAGAAAATTTGTTTCAATTGACGAGCCTCCACTCAGTTAACGAGTTGTCAGTGCGTGTGTGTGTGTGTGTGCCTGCGTCCGTCGTTGAGTCTTGCTCCTAAAGCATGGGCCTTCGGTCACCTGCAGCTAATTAGTGGAGTGATGAAATTTGATTGGCTACGTTTCGCAAGACGAGCGTTTCACATGAC